TTTGCTGTTGTTCTGGGATTGACTTTGCACTTTTCGCACCAAAGTACGTTAATCTCTAGGAGCCAGAACACATCTCCTTCCTGAGCGGTATGACAGCTGCGTGGTCCCATGGTGTTTATACTTGCGTACTATTGTTTGTACAGATGAACGTGGTACCTTCAGGCATTTGGAAATTGCTCCCAAGGATGAACCAGACTTGTGGAGGTCTACAATTTTTATTCTGAGGTCTTGGCTGATTTCTTTTGATTTTCCCATGATGTCAAGCAAAGAGGCACTGAGTTTGAAGGTATGCCTTGAAATACATCCACTGGTACACATCCAATTGACTGAAATGATGTCAATTAGCCTATCAGAAGCTTCTAAAGCCATGAATTTCTGGAATTTTCCAAGCTGTTTAAAGGCACAGTCAATTTAGTGTATGTAAACTTCTGACCCACTGGAATTGTGATACAGTGAATTATAAGTGAATCTGTCTGTAAACAATTGTTGGAAAATTACTGTAAACTTGCACAAAGTAGATGTCCTAACCGACTTGCCAAAAGTATAGTTTGTTAACAAGAAATTTGTGCAGTGGTTGATAAACAAGTTTTTATGACTCCAACCTAAGTGTATGTCAACTTCCAACTTCAACTGTAAATGTAATATTTCAGATTTTTGTTTTTAATAAATGTTCTAAAAAGTTAAAATCTGTTGTTTTTTTGTCATTATGAGGTATTGTGTGTAGATTTAATGGTGAAAAAACAATTTAATCAATTTTAGAATAAGTCTGTAATGTAACAAAATGTGGAAAAAGTGAAGTGGTCTGAATACTTTCCGAATGCACTGTATACCCTTCTAGTGAAATAATACTGACTCTTCGCCATGCAGATGGACCTCAAAGTAGGTTTGCACATGAGTAAACTCTCTTGGCACACCTTTTGGATTGTTATGTTATTTAGAATGGTCAAAAACTGTCTGCCAGGAAGTGTTCTAGGCTGTATATAATGAAAAGGTGTGAGATGCTGTGTAGAGTTTCTCGCTCTCAATTGTTGTTTTGTTTTGATTGTGGAAATATTACCCGACTTTTTCCCTCGCCTCAAATCCTAGGTTCGCTTCCTTTGCATTCATTACATTGTAGAGCGAGAGGCACTGGAGGAAAATAAATGCGGCATGCATTGACACTTTGCTTATCCTTACAGAGAGAGACTGACAACAGAGTAACAACAGCCAGCCAGAAACAGCATCCTCAGAGGACTTGGGAAATACATACTGTACTGTTGGAGAAATGTTAAGGTGAAAATACAAGAGTGTACATAGGATTGCCACATAGAGTATTAGAAAAAAATTGACAGTGAATGATTATTGAGAAACCTGTTGTACACCTTCGCCTCCTCTCGGTCCCACTGCCTGGCTGTGAAATTAAGGCCATTACAGAAAATGATTCCAACTGCAGGCAGCCAAGAGGTTGAGTCCCTAATAACAGCATATCCCTGATTGCTCCTAAGTGCCCCCAGGCTCTGGGTGCTGAAGATACTTTCTCCTAATTTTGATTGACAGGTGCAGTATGGTCAATATCAACCATCAACACCTTTCAAGGCTGATATTTGAAACTACTGTAAAACTCAAGACCATCTTTGTCAAAAACCATTAGGATGCTTGTGTCATTAGTAAGTATGGATGTCGAAGAGAAAGGTTTTATTACAATGGCAGGATTATGAGAAATGTACTGGGTGGGGATGGATCACCAAGTCACTGATGTACAGTACGATATTACACAATTTTTCATTGTGAGACAGAGTTTTTTTTTGAAAGACGAAAGACACGAAAGCCTGATTATGAACTTGTGTGACATGACAATTTATCATCCCTGTTTCCACATGCAAACGGGCTAGTTGTTAGGATGGTACTTTTTGTGTGGTGTGTGGTAGGAATAGACTATGAGACTGCCTCAGTCAATGGATTCAAGCATTCAGTAGAAAGAATCCAAATATAATCTTAAATTCAACTACAATATGATGGAGTAGAATTTTGATGTGAATAACACATTCCTGAAAGGATGTATTGTCTGTCAAATGATGTAGTACTGTAGAAAACATAATCAGGATTCAAGGGCAGATTTGATTGCTTATAACTCAAACAGTTAGGTAGAGTCTTTGTACAAATCTTTCTAAATTAGTTCATTGTATTGTGAAAAAAAGTTAACCCATCGTTGGCTCAAGTTACAATAACTGTTCCAGTTTCTTCGCATTACAACTCTTGCATGGCCAATACGGCACAGTACTGTCAGTAGTGGCGCCAAAATGAATACACATGCTTATCTTTGCTCCTCATGGTTCATATTCTTCAGATGTTCTCCCTTCAAAGCTTCGGAAACTATATCAATACCTGTAAGGAGACGGAGCATATTTACCGGCCCAAGTAAAGATGCATAACAACCTCATTGCATGCTGTTGCATCACGGCGAGTTACAGTACTGTCAATTGTATTCATGCACCTTGGCAAGCTGTTGAGAAGGAGCCCGAGAAGCTGCCTCTTCTCCATATTGCATCACAAAACTTTATCAAAACAGAGGAGACCATGCGGTGAGATATTCATACACAAAAGTCTTCCTGTGTCAAATAATCTTCAATTACCGAAATTGGGTAAAAACAACAAGATCTCAGTAAGACTTTTTATTATGGTTCTGGTTTGATTTAACTATTCATTGTTTGGGTTTGGGACACTGGGCAAATGAGACTGCTATTTCTCACTGTAGAGCTGGTTTAGAACCAAATATGACATCTCATATTCAGTAGTTTATGATAAGAAAATCCCCTAAAATCTTCATTATCTTTTCTGCAAGTAAATTGGATGAATTCTTACTTTAGGAAAATATTTAATTAGAAGAATGTCATTGTTGATGAGGTCGAATCTTTATGGAATGATAAATAATAATTACTTTAAAAGGGGTAAGCACTATATGTAATGCCTATATAACTAATGGCTGAATACAATCCCAGGGCACGTACTCTCTCTCTCTCTCTCTCAACACACAGACACACACACAAGGCAAGCACATGTGCATGTACTGTATGCACATAGACACACCATAGGGAGTGCAAAAATGTGTGTGTGTAAATGCCACTGTTCACATGATCTGACCAGAACTATTAGCCCACATAGATAGGAGGCTGATCACCACAGGAGGAGCGTCTGGCTAATTTGCAAAAAGGCTCTTTAAGAGGTCCAAGAGCGTGCAAGCCATTCATCACACACGCCTCTGCAGAGCGCCAAGCCTGCTTTGTCTCCGATGGGCCTTTCAAGTACAAAGCCTCATCGAGAGGAGACACAAAACAAACAGCAAACTCTCTCTCCTCCTCCCTCTGTTACCCTCGATTTCCTCCTCCCTCTATACCCCCCCCATCTGGATACCGGAGTTGTGCAAAGGCAAAGAAAATGTGTGTGTGTGTGTGTGTGTGTGTGTGTGTTATGCCTGCTGATATTTATTGCAGGCAAAAAGGCAGCTCTGCATCGCCATCTCCTCAAAACAGCCCTATTTTTCTTCTCAAAGCCTATCTGGTTCACCTTGATAAGATAATTAGACACTGACATATCATAGAATTTTTTATGTTCAAAAGAATTGAAAGAAGTCCCCTCAGTCTTTTGAGGAACTGAATGTCCTTTTTATTGTCCACAAAAATGATAAAAACATCCGCAAACATCACATATTTATGCCTCTTCAAAATAAATAAGAATAATGTTTGATTAACATGTTGTCTTCCAATGGGAACAGTTCATAAGGCATTTTGTTTGAAAGAAAATACTTATTTTGCCTCCTGTTTTCTCGCCATACAGTGTGTGTCCCTTATCAATTAACAAAATGTTTCATTCTGCAGAGTAATTTTTGGACAAACAGATTTGCTGCATTTACTGTGAGCTACAGGAGAGCAATGTATTTTAGTTATGTAACCCATTTCAGCCCAGCACTGAAACCCATTCAAACAAGCCTTCACTTTATTCAAGTCAAAGTTGCAAGTATCTTACAAGGTCCAACATCAACTGAAATCCTTGGGAAAAGCTCTTTTAAAGAGTAAATGTTGTACTGTGAATTCCAAATTCCTTTGCAAATAATGAAAAATACTTAAAGGTTCAATCCAGGTGAATATGGATTTCCATCTCAACCATAACGTTACATCATTGTTATTACATCATTATTACATAAAATTGGACTTGGCAATAGAAAGAGTCAGGCCTAAGGAAAACAGACTTCAAAGGCAAACACCACATTCTAACAGCTGTTAAATGCAATGTTAAAAGGAGAAAGTGTACGCTTACACACCAGTTCTTTGTAAAGAAGAGGCAGATTTCAGAGCTCTCTCAGGAAATTAACAGCAGTGGTTCCTTTTCAACAGATCTGTACACTTGACTACTTGTCACAAATAGCAATGAAAGATATTATTGGTTTTTCTCTGCGAGTCTGACTTAATACGTTTCCTTCGTAATCTCTGTGAAAAACACTGAACAAAAACAAAACATTGACACTCTTAATGACTTTCAAATGAATAGTTGAGTGACTACTCTAACGATTAGCAGCCAGGGACCGAGCACTTCAGGAGAAATGTATTTTTTTAAACAAAAAGAGCAAGGGAATGCATCAAAGCAAGACTGCTGGGTCTGTGCCCATGGCAGGAATGAGAGAACAGGTGCCTCCACATAAATATACTGTAGCCTATCATGTACGCAGTCGGTCTCTGGACCTCAGCCCAACTTTGAAACCTTTTAATGCCTTTGCTCACAAGGTTTCCTCTTCAGTCAAGTCACTTTTGAAGTGACTTGTCAAAACTTGCCAAGTCATCCCTTTTGAAAATCCAAAATCCAAGGCAGGTAAACAAACCCAACCTTTGAAGTCAAGATGTTGTATTTTTCCAATCTCACTTTGTTTTCACAGACTCTCACCCCCTTCTCTGCACTTTGGTAGTTCAGTTGTTAATTTTCTTTTTTTATCACAATACATTTTTTGTCTAAGTTCATGAAAGTTTTGGCTATGACAACACGCTGTTGCCGTTGCTATTGCCGTCGCTGTTGCCATACAGGTCGGCTAGCTTTTTGAAACGTGGCCCCCAGTTGCTGAGATAGTCGTAGTTCTGCTCCGAGTCTGTACTTAGTGACTCCAAGGAGCTTAACGACTCAGCTACCGAGCCACTCCCTTCAAAGGCGTACGTCTGCAAAGAGTCGTATGGCGGAGCTGACGGCTCAACATCTGCATCCTTCAGCCGGTCCCAGATGAACTCTTGGAACACCACATTGTCTGGCAGGGTCTTGAAGACAGGCCGCGATGAGGAGGACGTCGGGTAGGGGAAGAAAGTGGGGGTGTCAGGGGTGACGTCTCGCCTGACCTTGGGGTCTCTAATAATGTTGAGGTTGCGGAGGGCTACCATGTCGAAGGCCTTCGTGTCTTCCTCTCCTCCACCCTCGTCATCGTAACGGACGATGTTCTCCCTCACGTCCCTCTCCTCCTCCAGAATCAACGGCTCCTTCTTCCTCCGACGCATCGACACGATCAGCAGCACCATCACTGAACAAGGGAAGAGAAGAGAAAGGGGGGAGGGGCAGGGTAAATGTTTATTCATCACCAGTTTAGGACACTTGCAATGATCTGTTCTTCAATATAAAGGCATAGTACATTTAGGATGATACATCTACATTAAATAATAGCCCATATGTGATAAATGTGAAAATGAATTTTTTTTACATTTCATTTGAATATATCCTTCATTTCTCTCCTCTATCCTCCATTTTGCTCACCACTTCCACGTCCCAAAACCGGAATTTCAGAACTTCCCAGAACTTCCCATCCAATCCCTGGTCCCATATATTATTGCTGAAAATAACTCTCAGAACCCAAGCAAACTGGCAAATGTCTAATGATCCGTCATCCATCAATGTCGCACTGGTGCTAGTGAAATATCGCTCCGTGGGCCCAGATTTCTTCCCTTAACTGCGTCTGGCTTCCGCGGGCTAGAGTGAAGGTACCGGGAAAGTGAAGGCAAACACCGCTTCACACCTCGTAATAAGAGAGAAAATGGAGAAGATGGAGGGGTGGAAGGGGTGGGGAAGACGCAGATGAATGGAGAGCCTTCTGACTGCTGTTTGGTGACCACTTTCTGACTGCATGGCTCTACTACACTGCAATGTGTTACTACTCCACCAGTGGTACTGCTCAATCATGGTTCAATCTGTCAATACCACTGGACTGTTGCCCTCACTACTACTACACGCTTAAAAAAAGAAGGCGCTATCTAGAACCTAAACTGTTTTTTTCAGTTGTCCCCATAGGCGAACCCTGTGAATAATATTTTTTGGTTCCAAGTAAAACCCTTTCCACAGAGGGTTCTACATGGAACCCAAAAGAGTTCTAGCTGGAAGAACCCTTTTGGAACCCTTTTTTCTAAGAGTGTGCTGACCATCCATTGGAATGTTGTGTAATTGTATAGCTTTTGTAAAATTCTATGTTGAAAGATGACATCCCTTGGAATCTATGAGAAGAACAGTACATTGGTTTGCCTCTGATTGTAGTATAAACTAAAAATAAATGATTCTATATAGTACCAAATATATTTGTCTCAACGATAGTGGATCCTTTTTGGTGCTATATAGAACCCTCTTTTAAAGGTTCTATAAAGAACCATGCACATACGGTTCTAAATGGAACCAATATGGTGCTATATAGAACCTTTTTACAAAGGTTCTATATAAAACTATTAAAAAAGGTTCTATATAGCACTACAAAGTGTTTCGCTATCATTACAACCCTTTTTTGTGCCACACTTTATATAACCTTAATGGATAAGTGTTCTATTAACCCCGTAAGGTCGATGTCCATGCCCTCTGGGAAATCTAATTAGTATAATGAAAAAATTCCAACACAAATCTTTCAGTTTAAGCTAGAGATATGTTTTTTTTTCGCATCTGCGGTGAAAGGTGACAGAGCTAGAGCGTTGTTTGTCAGACCATGAGACATCCCGAAAATCGGTCTTCTCACAAAATCGTCTGTAGCTTCCGAACGGAAAGATGAGACTCTCACGAACACGATGGTGTTCTCTGTTTTGCTCTACGGCTATAGCCAACTTCTTTCTGTAGCGTCCGAACAGCATGGGCTAAACACTACATGTTGGCCCACAGGCCTCACAAGAATCATCTGAAGGTCCCCCCGGTACCAGTTGAAAAAATTAATGGAAGTATATATGGAGACTGTTTAGTGGCAAAAATAAGGGGTTAAATAGACACTTCAGAACAAACATCATTTCGATTTTTTTTTTTGGGGGGGGGGACTATCTGTTGTTCCATGTAGTGAATCTGTTATTCAATGTGTTTGTATGGGCTAATAGCAGTAAGGCCAAATAAAACATTTCATCCATTTATTTATTTATATTTTTTATACTTCAAGGGTGTTTTAAAATTCAAACTCAAATAGCTAAATAATCTTTGGTTAATTCCATACAGTTTAGTAACCCCCTAAGGATTATGATCCTGTTCAAAATATGTTCTAGATCTTGAGGTGCAATCTGTTAAAATAGATCCTGAAGGAAGATGGATTGCATTCACTGGTTAATTACACATTAAATAGCCTAACAATGAGGAAAAAAGTAGTCGGCTTAAGGAAAAATTCAGCCACTATTCATTATTGAACTCAGCGGGTTTTGTCTAGATAATATCCTACACAAAAGGGCTGCAATATTCAAGGTAAATTAAATCAAATGAAATCCAACTTCAGACTCCCCTTTTGTTTCTGTGTCACTTTCTCTCTTTCTCTTTGAAAAAAGAATCTGTCTGTGCTTGTCGTCCTCTTTATTTCTACATAGAGGCCTATAGTATCCATAGCCACGGGAATTAGGGGTGATGTAGCACCCCCTGATAAAAATAAATAAATATATATACATATATACATACACACACACACATATACATATATATACATACAAGTTTGGACACACCTACTCATTCAAGGGATTTTCTTTATTTTTAAAACATTTTACATTGTAGAATAATAGTGAAGACATCAAAACTATGAAATAACATATCTGGAATCATGTAGTAACCACAAAAGTGTTAAACAAATCAAAATATATTTTATATTTGAGATTCTTCAAATAACCACCCTCTGCCTTGATGACAGCTTTGCGCACTCTTGGCATTCTATCTCTCAACCAGCTTCATGAGGTAGTCACCTGGAATGCATTTCAATTAACAGGTGTGCCTTGATAAAAGTTAATTTGTGGAATTTCTTTCCTCCTTAATGCGTTTGAGGCAATCAGTTGTGTTGTGACAAGGTAGGGAGGGTATACAGAAGATAGCTCTATTTGGTAAAAGACCAAGTCCATATTATGGCAAGAACAGCTCAAATAAGAAAAGAGAAACGACAGTCATCATTACTTTAAGACATGAAGGTCAGTCAATACTCAAAATTTCAAGAACTTTGAAAGTTTCTTCAAGTGCAGTAGCAAAAACCATCAAGCGCTATGATGAAACTGGCTCTCATGAGGACCGCCACAGGAATGGAAAACCCGGAGTTACCTCTGCTGCAGAGGATAAGTTCAATAGAGTTAGCAGCCTCAGAAATTGCAGCCCAAATAAATGCATCACAGAGTTCAAGTAACAGACACATCTCAACATTAACTGTTCAGAGGGGACTGTGTGAATCCGGCCTTCATGGTCGAATTGCTGCCATGAAACCACTACTAAAGGACACCAATAAGAAGAAGAGACCAGCTTGGGTCAAGAAACACGAGCAAAGGACATTAGACCAGTGGAAATTTGTCCTTGTGAGATTTTTGGTTGCAACCGCCGTGTCTTTGTGAGACGCGGTGTGGTTGAACGGATGCATGGAGGAAGAGGTGTAATGGTGTGGGTGTGCTTTGCTGGTGACACTGTCTGTGATTTATTTCTAATTCAAGGCACACTTAACCAGCATGGCTACCACGCCATCCCATCTGGTTTGGGCTTAGTGGGACTATCATTTGTTTTTCAACAGGACAATGACCCAACACACCTCCAGGCTGTGTAAGGGCAATTTTACCAAGAAGGAGAGTGATGGAGTGCTGCATTAGATGACCTGGTCTCCACAATCCCCCGACCTCAACCAAATTGAGATGATTTGGGATGAGTCGGACCGCAGAGTGAACGAAAAGCAGCCAACAAGTACTCAGCATATGTGGGAACTCCTTCAAGACTGTTGGAAAAGCATTCCAGGTGAAGCTGGTTGAGAGAATGCCAAGAGTGTGCAAAGCTGTCATCAAGGCAATGGGTGGCTATTTGAAGAATCTCAAATATAAAATATATTTTGGTTACTACATGATTCCACATGTGTTATTTCATAGTTTTGATGTCTTCACTAGTATTCTACAATGTAGAAAATAGTAAAAATAAAGAAAACCCTTGAATGAGTAGCTGTTCTAAAACTTTTGACCAGTAGTGTACATTACATTTTTTAAAGCTGCTAATGAGAACCTTGATGACCTTGTAGGCGTATGTCGCACGTCACTACCTCACAGGAGAGGCATTTGAACGTAATTTCTTATAAAAAAAAAAATCTAAATAGTTTTTTGCCAGACACCTTCTGGAACATGTGAACCTTCATGTGCCTTAATAACAAACTTGTACGCCATCTGTAAATAGAAATTAAATTGTTAAATAACAAGCCTAGTTGATTTAGCCACTGAAAAAGACAGGAACCTTTAGCCATGATTGGCTGAGATAATAGCTGGGCTGGACATGCCGAGAGATGAGTTTGGATTGGTCTGCCATGTAGCATGCCTATAACATGAGCAGCTCAGTATGTGTAGATAATCCTTGCTTCAACCGCTTTTTGAAAGATATGACGTTAGCCATGGAGAACTGCAAAAGTGTTGCTACATTTCTCAACAACATTGCTGTCCTGAATTCAGCAGGCACTATCAACAAAGATCAGTGGAAAAATGTTGTGGACTACTTTCTGCACATGGTCAGTGTGAACTGGACTAACTCGAGAGAACGCGGGCCAAACAAGCTATACAAACAAAACGGAAACGACACAGGACATCATACTTAGTTAGCTCAAGGGGTTCCAGTCTGCCATGAAGTGTTCATCCATGTATATGGGTAAGAGTCTAGCTAAATTTTCAGATATTATACATTTCAAATTTGGTCAAAAAGTCATTTTCATTGCAAGTTAAAGCGTACTGTTATCTAGCTAGCGAACGTTAGCTTGCTGGCTCGCTAGTTAACATAATGTGTATGATCTGTGTAGTAATATTATTCATATCTCAGAAAGCCATTTACATTGCTAGTTATATACAAATGTTATTTAGCTAGCTAACATTGAACCTAGTTGGTTAGCTTTAGCTACCTGCAGATTCATATTACAGCCTTTCATGTATGGTGGCTAACTATGACAATCCGTTTGTATTGCTACTGCGTGGGTCGGGATTATGGTTTGTTGTCTAAACAAAAGACTCCACTTCGCCAGATGATTACATGACCTATCAAATTAGCCAGGTGTGTCTGGGGGTGAGTACGGCCATCTATTGTATTTCAT